ACAAATATTATTTTAAAACTAAATCTATCCAAACAATCAATTTATAAATTTTTTTATTTGTTTTAGAACCATAATTACTTTCTTCAACTTATGATTTCTTCTTTATAAATATCTAATGTTGGGTTCTAATAAACAATTGTTTTTAACATTGGAATTTGTAATTTCTTTTTTCATATATACTTATGCAAATTAATTCATGTTTTTTCTTGAACTTTTTTTAATGTAAAAGTAAAATGATTACAAATTTTTATAATTAGAAGATTTATGGTTAGAATACATGATATAGTTCTAGCTCAGCTATATTATGAGGGCAAAATCCGAAGGCTACCTTTGTTTGCAGCAACAGCAGCAGCAATCCTAGCTACACCACTGCTTCCATGAAGCTCCAAACACCTTCATGCACAAAACCTCATAAATATCAGTCTTGAACACATAATATAGAGAAGCTAGGACTTCGTCCATCCCTTGCACCCGGTGGATTCTTGGGTTCAATTTAGCGAAAATGAACAGGATTTTGGAGTGCGTCTTGGTTCTCAAGAGCTTAGTCATTGTCGTTACAAATGAATTGCATGCCTGAATGTGTCTTCTTCACTTCACGGTTGATTTGCTCTGCGAGCTCATTATCCGGAAAAAATTGGTGCCAGACAGTTTTGCTGCCAAGACTGAAAGGGTGATCATCATGCAAAATCTTCATGCCGCTGGAGATTTCTCCAGCTCTGCTGACTGCATGGCTTCCATGTCCTCTCTTCTAGTAACCTCCAAAAGATTAATTATCATCTCCTCTGTCTAAGCCTTTGATCTCCAACACATCGTCGATGCAGGCGTCTTCAGTTTCACTGTACCCATCTCGACTTCTCGGCTCTTAGCCCATATCAGAATCACATGAATGTGACAATTGTTTTTCAAGAATTGAACGCTTGATACATGTACCCAACTCCTGTGGTTGCGCTGATTTCTATGATTTCTCAAAGAACTAGGATCTTCAAAACTAGTCATCGAGGATTAATCATTCCTCTTGTTACCAGATTGCCTACACCCTCCTGAACCTGGAAACTCTTAAACTGCTGCAGAATGTGAGCACCATGTGGGAATCTAATACTGCTTGGAGACGAAACCTGTTATTGCCAGCACAGTTCGCACTCTCCTGAATGATCCTCTTCCCTAGAGGACCGCCTCTTCCTTGGCAGCGCAACGTTAACCAAGGCTAAACATTGATGGCTTCACTGTCCTATTTGCAGAGGGCTCGTTTTCGCCACCTGTGCAGGCTGTGCCCATACTGCCACAGAAACTCAACAATGTTTAGCCGTGACCCATTTCAGCAGATATACTGAAAAAGTATCCTTGCGATTTCAGTAGCTCCACGGTCTTTTTTGTATTAATAAGCTTTTCCTGGGAATTTTGTAATCCCCAACTAGGGATTAGGATATAGGTCCGAGTAGGTTTATCCATCAAGGCGATTGAGGTTGCAATATGCAAAACTCTGCAAAAACAATGTGATGACGTCGTTGTGCACCCCTCAGGCAAGCAAGGGGCATAGCGCCGATAATCACTTACCAATCAGCAGACACGAATGAATTGAAGAGACCAGTACCGAAAAGTACAATTGGTGAAGTTACGACTTCAGGAAGAGAGCCAGTAGATCTCAGATTCTGACTGAAGAGGTAATTTTCGACTCCTCTTTGAAGCTCGAGGACTCCATCTCAACCGAAATCCCAATGCAAATATGAACAAGTAGATGGACAATCCGATTGAATCCAAGCTGGAAGCATAGGAAAAGCGTTTCAAGAGGCAACGAGGGACCCGACTCAGAATAGAGCCCCTCAAACCATCAAACTGAAATCTTAGTGGTAGTGGGTGAGATAAGAGGAGAAGGAAGACAGGAAAACTAATTGTGCATGTCGGATTCAGACATCCCCAACAGCTAGAAACAGATTCGACAAGAAAGAAGAATATACGCCTTGATCACCAACACTGAAACCTCGCCTTCCGACTCCAACTCAGGCACAACAACCCCCATCAATTTTTTTTATTTTTTTCAATTCTCTTCAACCCAACCCTCCGACTTCTCACACCCCTCACGAGAAACACTTGTTTCGTAAATCCAACTCACGTCGTCGAAGATCAACCCTCACACCAACCTCAGAGGAAACACAGGGCAGTTGCGGAAGACAGTTTGGAACAACCACTGAGCACACACACACACACACACACCCAAGCTTCTTCTTCTGCCTCTCTCTTTTCTGCGGTTGCTTCAAAAACTAGCAATAAAAACACTTGGCAGGAAGAACTACACACGTCTGCTTCATCACCTGATGGTCACTGCCTAAGTCAAGTCGTGCAAATCGACATTACATGTCTATTACCTCCATATCCACCCACCTCTTCCTATCAACCTTTCCCTTACAGTGTATGTTAATCATAATCGGCCTATCTGATGCCAAGCATCAAATTCCATGTGTGAGAGTGTGCATGTGTATGCGTCAGTGTGTCTGAATTAGCCGATCTGCACGCAACTAACGACCCTTTGAGTTTTGTAAATTCGGCCAGGAACTTGGAGCAAGATTCAATATCAGCTATGTAAGGGAGCTCTCTCATGTAACAAAGATCTGCATACTGTTTAGCCAAGTCCGATGTTGGTCTAACGACAGTTACACTGGTGTCAAGGCTGTCGTTTCCAATTCCTGATCCGTAGGTTTTGTCTCTATTAACTGCTCCAATGTGCTGAATAGAGCCTTCTCCCAGAAAAGTGGGTTGTTCAAGGGCCCAATTTGCTAGAGCCAATGGAATAATTTTTTAATCTTTCATATTTATGAAATAAGTGATAATAACAGTTGTCAAATATTATTGCAACTAAACAATCTTCTATAAATATTTACTTATAAAATTTCCTAAAACATCTTTTTAATCTACCATTTTAATCTAGGATTTCATATTAATATTGGTATTTTGATTTGCTAGAAACAAGTATTTTAATTCCATTAATCAAAGATTTGTAATAAAAATGTACCTGTTGTGAAAAAAAATCTGGTAACTTTTCCACATATTAAAAAATATTTAACAATTTCTATTTAAGTCCAACAAAACCTAATGATTTGTTTATTTACTCATCAAAATTCACGTAATCTGAAAGTCATGTACTATACACATATCAAAAACTCAAAAGTTTAAATGCATAAATAAATAATTTTATACTATACTATAAATCTAAAAATGTTTTTTTATGATAGGAACATAAAAAAAAAATATAAAAACTGTATTCATAGCTTCTTTTTCATTTACGATATAATTAACCTCTATTTATTTGTCTCGAAATTTTATAAAAATGATTTATTATGTCTTTTCCACATATTAAAAAATATTTTAAAAAATAATGATAAAAAGAATATATGAAAAAAATATTTTATAAAAATGATTTATTTCATATATTCTTTTTATCATTATTTTTTTAAGACACTTTGGTTTTTAATCTTTTATCACATACAAACCACACAAACATACTTACATATTAATCAAAACATCTCTTATCGTTTTATCAGAATTGTTTTTATCTGTCATTGTATCTGAATATCAATAATTAAATTTAATTTAAAATAATTATTATTATTATTATTAGTTTGGTAAGTAAAAATCTTGCCAATCCTTTTCAAGATTTGCAAATAGATGCTGAATAAAGTATCTTTTTTCAACCAATCCACCATGAGTTGAAATGTAACTATGCTATTGTTAACAAGAGCATTGATATAATGCAATAACATCTAAGGAATTTTTAAAAATCCAAATAAGTATTTGGTAAGAAATTTTAACAAATATTTCAATAAGAGAGATTTATTTATAATCTTGGATATTTTTCTATTTTAAATCTTATACGTTTTTGTATGCAAACCACAAGATTTTGGATTCAACTCAGAATTTTAAATTAAAAATAAATAAATAAAAAGCATAGAAAAACTATGATAAGACAATGACACATAATGGAGTAACAATGACTTACAACAATAAGGTGTAATAAATATATGAATTGCAATGGGATAGAATGCACATTCTAATTATATGATCTACATTTAGTCTTAGTACATTTAGTCTCCATTGTTTAGGTTGCAAAATCTCATTTTTATAGATTAAAAAATCACAAAGCATCACAATACAAAAATAAAAATATGTGTTTCAAACTCTTCATGGCATTGGCATACTATAGCCAAATGTCTATTAAAAAAACTTATAAGATTCTTGTAAAAAAAAATTCAAACATATATGTATATATATATATATATATATATATATAGTTAAACATGCAAATTTATTTTGTTATGTTTGACAATGCAACTTTGGATAAAACATTTACATAAGATTTGCACAACATTTTGTAATGCACATCAAGAAAAATTGAAGAGATTGTGTACCATTTAACCAAAGAATTTATTTTGCAAAGTGGAATAATGCATACCACAGTAGATTAACTCAAGTAGAGAAGGCTGATGGAAGTATACCTTAGCCACTTACTTGGATAAGTGAGTATTCACCTACTAGCACACTGGACCAGTTAGGGAATAATGCTGTGAAAAAAATAACATTAATTTTTTAAAAATTGATATTCACATTAAATATACTATATTTAAATGTGAACTAGAAACTTAACGTTATGAAATTTTAGTTTCTGTTTTTTTTCAGTATGAAAAAAAATTAAAATATAGAAAGAAAACAAAAAATTCTTTGTAAGATTGATTAAAAGTTTTTTCTTAAAATTTGTAGTATGATTTTCACAAACATATTATGGATTTCGGTATTAAAAAAACTCATGTATTATAATAAATCAGTTTAATTTGTGCAATGAAATTTCGCAAGTTATGTAAAGCTTATATTTAGAATTAGTCATAAATTGAACTCTGTTCTATACAGTTGTCAAAACAAAGACAATTTGCAAACTTATTCAACGCCACCTACGCATAAGTTCAGAAATATATAAATATATAAATATTAAATTACGTAAGTTCAGAAATATATGAATGAGAATGCAATAGGTGCCACAAACCTCTGTATTCCATAGATATCTTCTACTTTCATTATTTACAAAATCAGTACCCCAGTCAACATTTCTACACGAATGTTATAAAAGGGCTATTTTTAAGTTTCAAAATTTCAACACTTGAAATTTTCTGCCGACGCCATCTTACAGTAAAAATCGTTTTGAGAGCCCATAAAAGAATCAACTTCCAATTACAATTGTGATTCAGTTTCTTTCAAACCTCGAATACTGCATTTCAGAGTAAAGTTGCGCTCCGACCATTGTATGATCAGATCAAAAGAAGACATACGGTAAGGTGATAATATCTGTGGGTGGGAAAGATCGAGATCTTCATCACCTCAAGTTATATTGTCTCATAAGAAGCTCTACATCACTACAAATTCCCAATTGGGTTAATCGAGAGGCTTGTATGGCCCTGCCTCTTCAATTGATGATTCTTCGTCTAATTCCTTCAATTTCAAGTAATAATACGCGAACTGGCACAGAATCTGACGCAAACTGGTCAAGAAAGTGAACCATTACTGAGAAAAAGACTGGAGAATACAACACAGATATGAAATAACAAAATAAAATAAACAATCAAAAATCGAAATGCAACATAATGATCTGATCGAAAGCTGCAAAGATGTAGGATACAAAGATGTCGAGGACGACGCAGACTCCAGCGTCCACCAGCCAAGCCAGATTTGGCTTCAGCTGCGCCCAATCCAAGCTCCTCACCAAAATACTGCACAGCAACACATGGGAGGCACAACCTAGACATGTAAGGCGTCGATGATATTTGGGGCAGGTGTATTGATAGATTGAAAAAATATCGTCAAAGAGAAGTGAGTAGAAAAAGGAGCAAAGCTGTTTGTTCACCTTCCGACGTAGGTTGCATTGCCTAGGAGAGCGAATACAAACATCAACGGGTTTAAGCCCTCCATTGAGCCCCTCTTCATCTGAAAAACAAGTCCAGATGCACAGAATTGGCAACCACAATCACGTTCACATCGTTTCCTAAACAGACCATAATGATTGTGCAGATTGGTTGAGGAATTAAAATCTGAAGTAAAAGACGAAGTCTGCCAGTTTTATTTAGGCCAAGAATAATGAGATGATAAATATTGCAGTTTCTTCATTAAGGTGAATGGATTTACGTTGAGCCAGATTTGAGGAAGTCGTCCGCCCATGTAGATCCCTGCCATAATCCAACCAAAAACTTCACCGAGAGGAGAAGCCTCCTGTTGTGCAAATAGGTGGGCAAGGGTGTGGGAGCGACCAATATGAGTGGTGCCCAGAGTGTTGCCGCCGGTGCGGATAGGGCTTGTATACATGCTCAAGCCCAGCGATCCAACCATCAACACACTAGTTGTTATCTGCGTCACACAAAAATTAAGACAAATTGTCAAATTCAGCGACTCTGCGGTTTGATGGTGAAGGATACACTTAAGAAATGACCAATGAACATGATTGTGCAGCAATGCATAGAACGGGGTTTCCATGCCAAGTATAATTCGCACCGATTGTATCGACGCGGAGGATGGGCGACGGGGACGAGATCCAACAACTGGCAACTCTGAGTCTTCCCGGGATAGCAGGTAGCTGTGGTGACCACCGCCAGCTGAGCCTCGCGCCCCCGATACGCTGTACGAGCCGACGGGTTGGGCGTAGCTACTGGCGAGAGATCTTGCAGACCTGCGCTAAACCGAAAAGTCATTGTGTGCCAATGCTGAATGCTTGTCACGATTTCTGGCACTGTTTTAAGGTGTAAATTTCCCAGCACAGAGAAGATTTTTTTATGGACTAGGTTACTTACTGGTAGTACAAGTGGTCACGGCTTCCTGCAGAGTTTCCATGAGGATGGTGGACGTGGTGGGGCACCCTGATGGAAGTAGGCTGACTTGATGTTGGAATACCACCTCCAGTTTCGTTGGCATCATCTGCAGCCTCTGGAATGGGAATCTGTTTCTGTGCTTCCATGTCTGTTTTTTGAATCTCCGGAAACATGTCCTTAACTGCCACCCGATCGCCACTCCACCGTACCCTGAGATGATCGTAGTAGACCGTTTGAAGTACCAAAATGGTTGTCGTCATTGTGTACAGCTGCGCCAATTCAGACAGACGTCAACAAATGAAGTGCTTCCTCGCCATCTACTTTCAGCCAGAGAGAAAAGAAAACATAGTAAAACAGAAAAATCCATGGTGAAAGCTGAAGCAGAACTAGTGATGGTAAGACGCAAGCAAATAGTTCAAGAGGTCTAGAACTCACGATTGCCATGTAAAATTGGGTTGGTAGCTGCAGGTGCAAGAAGTCAAACCCACATGATCACAAACTTGGTTAAATTTAGGTCATAATTGTACAGGGTCATTTAGAAGGCTTTGTGTTCATTTACTCGAGCTTCCCCAGTAGAAATAGAAATAGCATGCGCAAGCTGGAAAAGTTGTCTAAATGAGAGCCAACGTACCGTAGCTGGCTCCAAGTAGCACCCCATCAGGTTAAACACGTCCCTACACATTCAAACACCAGCAGTTGATCAAGCAACCTACGATGAATTGTTCTGAACTATTCGATAACAACAGCAATGTTTACTATCTTGCCTCTTCGAAAGGCTACAGGGTAAGAAGCTGCTGTAGTTGCTTCAATTCGCGAATTATATGAAGATTTAGTTGCTCCCGATCACAGTGACCTTGTAAAAAATCGGTGAATTTTCAACGAAAGAAACAAACTTACCCCACAACCCACGTCATGAGAAAGAGCAACGAAAGGCCCTCGGTGGACTTCTCCCGGAAGTTCGTGAGAATTTGCGGCACCTCAGCGATGCCCCAGCTTATCACGCTCATCAAGCCCTGCGCCAGAGAGAATCGGTCCCGGGTGCTACACACACAATCGAGCAGGTACACCTGTACCCATCTCAAGCACGGCTTGTCCGCAGGGCATTGCGGCATCGGCACTAAAAATCCCTCCATCTCCACGCCACGAGCTTCCGATGACGCAGAAGAATGAACTACTAACTACAAAGGTTTAAAATAGGCGTCGAGATGGGCCACCGTTCTAAAGACGAGCTGGCAAGTTCGCGACAGCCAAGCTCTCTAATTTTCCCTGAAGAACAGGGCAGAAACTCCCCGAACTGGCCTGCAGGTACTCTACGTTGATAACCACCCTCCGTCTCCGCTTCGAAAATGGCACTACCCGCAAGCTGCCCATGCACGTAGAGGAATATCAACTCATCCGATGGTGGAAATGATAAAGCACGAGTACAGCTCTACGAACCCTCTCAAGGACACAAATGAAACAACAAATATGGTTTACGTCATAGGCAAATGTCGGCTGACAGATGGGTTGATGTTACTCCTTGTAGCTAAGCGCATGTCCCCATTGTCGCGCTCCCGGACATTTTGCATAAACCTCTAGAAGTAATAGGTTCTACAGCTTCCTCAAATTGTACTTGAACCCTCGAACTTTAACACCACTCCCCCGACCCACCGTCGCTCCTTAAATTCAAAACCCCGGGACTACCTCTGATCCAATTCTTGGTCCAAACTGCACAATCCACTAACGCTTACTCCTCTCACTCCGAAGACCTCCACTGAAACCTCAAGAAAGTGACGGGAAGGTTTTGATCAACTGATACCAGTTTCTTGTCCTCGACGCCGATATAGCGACGAATGTGAGCAGTCTCACCACCTGACCCAGGACCAACTGTGCCCTACCCCACATCAAAAATCTAACGATGATAAATTGATAATGAAAGCGATGAGTTAGAACCCAGCTCTGTGAGGCCGCAGGGAAGCGCAACGGCGACGCTGTAATTGGCCTACGGAACCAATCAACGAAAGCAGCCACGCAGTCAAGGGAATGGAATTTGTGGCGTCGCTTCGACTGTAACAAGTAGACCATCGACTAATGCTTTTTACTCGATAGGAGCATGACTTGAAGAGCTACAGGGCTGGGATCTGCAAGGACCGATGAAACGCTGGAGCGAGTTGATGTGGGGACCAGTCCTTGACGTGAACTGCCCTGCTTGCGACACGGACCAGATGTGCGATTATGCATGCTGGAGCGTCGCCATGCAGTTCCTCCACGACAGTTTCTGCCCAGACTGACAAGATGGGGCTTTCCCTTCCCCAGTTGCAACCTTGCCAGAGCTCTGCCCAATGGTGCGCATGTTGTGACCACCTCTGTGCTCCCTGGGAGTCTCGCCGCCGTTCATACAACATCTTTCCATGTGGAAAGCAACCAGCGTCTCTCGCCTCATCAGGGTGCGGAACGCTAGTCGATGTAAATCTGCACACAGAAAAGAATAACCGTCGTTGAATGGTTGGTCATGGGATATTAGATATACCTTGAAAGATCTTTCCGACCCACCACGATCTCAAGGTTTCGACAACAGTAAATATCCTTCCACATCCTCTGCTGCACCATTCCCCATTCTAATGTACGGTTCGTGAAGAACGTTCAAATACTCCCTTCGTCCAGAAACCAAACACTGACGGCCGATATATTCATATTCTTTCCCTTGCAACGCCGCACAAGCCGAGACTCACCAGCACGGAGGAAACTACGTCCGGGCAACTGTCAGCCTCTCAGGACTGGTGCTTACGAACAGTCCAGCAATTATCAGATCCGTTGCCGAACGAGTCTCCTGGTTCGCTTGCGCAAGTTGCCGTGAAGGTGAAACCGTCGCCCCACATTCTCGTAACCACACTCAGATTAAATGCATCCTCTTTTGACCTCGCGCAGCACTCGATTGGGTTGCAAAATTAGCATTTCTGGCAGGGTTCTCGGTTGTTGTTGGCATTGCTCCATTGGATCATCTGTGAAGAGGGCCATACGTTGTCGATGGTGGAGTTGAGGCCTCGGCGTTTGAGCCTCTGATTCATGCACATGCTCAAGAAGTTTGCATCCGAAGGCTTCGATTTCGGCAGGTGCTCTAAAGATGCAATCAAACGTGCCCCTTCCGGGATACCTAGATCTGTGCTTTGTTTGTTTGTGATGAACCTGGGCATTAAAAAATAAATAAATAAATAAATAAATAAATAAATAAGAAGATAAGAAGATAGATATATTTGATATTAGGATAACAGTAGATTTTACAAAGCTGGAGCTTGATTCTTCAATGTTTCAATGGATGCGTGAGATACTCACATTGGTGTAAGGAGAGTCGTTCCATCTCATGTATGAGCTTGAATTTAAAACTTGTAGATTTTTGTCTTTGATCCAAGTTTTCGAATCCTTGAGGAATTTGAGTTCATTAGAGATTAGTTTAATGTTCTTCAAACATTGTTTGATTTGAGATTAAAAGAGGCTAGGGTATGTGATTTGAGAAAGGTTGACCAAATTAATGCAAGTTCATTCCCTATTTTTATGGTTGCTTAGTTGCAAGGCACTCTTAAAGTTTTGTAGTAGAAAATTTTCATAGATTGTGTGTAATAAAATTACACTTGTTATTAGTGTCATTGCATGTTTTGCTTCTCTATGCATTTACAATTGTTTTACAAGTTAAATGAGTCAAATTAATAAATATTTTTTTGTGATGCTATTTCTTTTTTAAATATTTTCTAATTAAGATTTTATGTAGATATAGAATTCTATTTGACTTAGTAATTTGAATGGAATAAGAAAGAATGTCATTTCACAACAAGAATTTGCATCTTTTAACATAAACTTATTATGGATTGAATGTCCTTATCCATAAGAAGATATTAGAATTCCATTCTACATTATAGATTGATCTATAAAAGATCAAAGATGTTGTATTTGATATTTTAGGCTTTTTCTATTTAATCATCCTACATTATAAAAGAATATATTATAAATATTAGATTTAATCTAATTAATTTATTAAAATTATATTTAATTTTAATTTAGATATTTTTTATATTATATATATATATATATATTTTTTATTGTATATATATTGTGAAGTAGTTTATTTATAAAAAAAGACTAAGTTTCTATTATAATCTTTAATTTTCTAAAATTTAATCTAAAAATAAATAATATAAAGTTTAAATATATATTGAATTGAAATCCAATCCTTCATCTTAATTTCAAAAGCCTTAGTTTATTTTTTAGCAGTTGTGTTTAATTTATGCCAATTTATGAGAGAATCATCTCATTTAAAATTAGAAATTTAACTATTAAATTCGATGTTATTAGGAGTTTGTGTTTTAGATATCATTCTAAGCTTTTAAAAGAATACGTAAATTGGGCTTAATATTTAAAGAACACTAGAAGGCTAGGTTATCTTGATATAAATATCTTTAATAATTATCAAATTATAAAGGCTTAAAAGACATGGTATGGATCAAAAAGATTTAAGCCATTGTTAGATGTGTTTTAGTTAGCAATGGTTCAAATAACTTCAACTTTGTAATCAATCTCTTTGTTACATCCAAAATATTTTTAGATTTTTTTAAACATTATTCATATAGTTTTTTAGGTTTAATTTATATACTTAGAAATAACTTGAATTTAATTGCTAACAATTTAATCTATTAATAATGTATCAACTTCCAATACAAAGAATGTTTTTAATCATAGATTAATTTTGTATTCTCTTGTTTAAGTCTCTTGATTCTTGTTTTGCTATTTTGGTTGAGATTTCTTCGTGAACAACATGGATTTTGTTAATTTCCATTTGGTGTGTAGATCAAAGGATATAACAAAAACTAAAAAAATAAAAAATAAAAAAAATAAATCATCATAATAATATATAAATTTTCTTTATAATCTTTCAAAAAAAATAGTTAAATTAGTTATGTGATGGATAATAATAAATTGATTTAGATTACTAAGTGTATTTAGATTTCTAATAATTGAGTTATTTTAGAAAATTATAATATTAAAGTTAAAAACCACTTTAGCAATGATGAAAAATATGGGGCTAATATACATCTTGGTTCAAGAGTTTTTTAGAATTGATTTTAGGATGTAGAGTGCTATTTTCACTTTTCACTTATTTATTATACTAAAGAATAGTTTGGTTCTATTAAGAGACTTGGTTCTAAAGCCTATTACCAACATTTTTTCATATAAAAAGTCATGTTAGATGTAATCAAGTATTTTTTTTAAATACAAATTAAAAAGAAACAAGTCTTTTTTTGATTTTTTTTGCTTATTCTTAAACTTTGAGTATAAGAATCATAATTTTTAAGACATGAAATTTAAAAATATTTTTTTAATTACGGTTCATTAAATGTAAAATAATGAGTTAAATTTTAATAATTTTTATTTTTGTAAAGGTATTTTATGTATTATTCAAAAAACTATTTGGCTTATAATTTCTAAAAACAATTCTAATTGTTTTTAAAAATCTAAGTGTAATAAAGCTCTGAATAGTTGATTAAGGGATGATATCTCTATGTATGAAATCTTTCAATATTATGAGTTTTCTTATTTGATAGTAGACTATAACAATTGAAGACTTTAATTCCAAATCCAATTCAATTAAAATGAGGTATTTTTTTCTCGGCTAAACATTTAATAGCCTTACATAGTTTGATCAAAGATGCAAAGTCTTAAACAAATTTTATAGTTTTTAAATTTAGATTTTTAAGATATAATTTTCTAACTAAGTATATTTAAAAATTCCATCTTATAATTTATTCTATTATCCCTATGTAGCTTTTTAAAATAATCAAATCTGATTTCAATCAACTCTATGGAATAATTAGTTTTTATATAATTTTATTTTAAATAATATATATATTATTAGTATAAATTTTATTTATTTTATTTTATTTTCTTGAATAATTTCTTAAACATGATTTTATTTAGAAATTTATTATATTCTATCTCACCTTTTCTTTTTAATAGATTTTCTATATTTTTTTTAGAATTTAAAGTCGATTTTTTAATTCTTTGGATATTAAGATCTTCATGCAATCTATTCTTTAAAAAATTAAGTCTCTCTTCTATTTCTCCTTACTTGAAATTTGACATATATTCCTTGCAAAAATGTTTATAAGTCTTTATAAATTTTGATTATAAATAATATATTGTTATTTTATATTTGTAGGTCTTTGACAATGATTTTGTTATTATACTTTAATAACATTTATCATCAAATTTACAAATTATTAAGAATGTGTAGAATAGAAATGATAGAATATTAAGATTAAATAAAAGAAGTTCTAAAGTATAGCATCTCTTTAAATACAATATTCTAAGATGTTGGCTTGAAATATGTTGGATAATACATTGAATATATTTATGTGTTTTAGTATATTGATGTTATTTCTTCTAATGTTTTACAAAGTTTTATTGATTTAAGTAGCTTAAAAAAATTATAATAAAAAAGGTGTTGTATTAAATTCTTTTCTATATCTTATTTGGTATATATATATATATATATATATATATATATATATATATAATCTTTTATATTGTTGTGTTCCAAAGCAACCTCCAAGCTTTGATACTTTAAATTTTTTTCATAAAATGCATTTCAATTTCTATTTAGTCAAATTACCTAATTCTATCATATTTTTAAAATAATTATAATGTCATAAAGAAGATGAAAGTAGTGGATATAGTAACAAATTTACAATACTATAAAAACAATTATTTGATTTCCTAATTTTATTAGACATAATGTATAGTTTTATTATTACCTACATATTATAAGCAGAGAGACATATGTGAGCTCCCAAAATGGCACATTGGTTGTTTGTTCTACAAAATTACACATTTAGTAATACAAGGGCAAGTTTAGACTAAAATAATAGGTAAAATCCTAATCGAAAGGATTTATATAAATTTAATAAATAATTTTGTTTTACTGGCGTGTTCAAGTTAATCCAGCAAATTATTCGTGAATTAGAAGACAATTTAATTTTATGGAGAAGAACATTAGTCGTTTTCATGGTTAGGGCCCTTAACCATGGATCAGGGAAGCCCTAACCATGATTACCACCTTATCTACGGCCCTGATCACGAATTTAAACTCCGCCGAATGGTCTAATCAATGCCACCGCTGTTTGCCACTGTCTCGTCGCCGGCACCACGCCATATTTAGATTTGTTTTGGCACCGACCCAGATCTTCAAAGTTCGCCACCTCTCCTTCTCCTGCAGCATTCTGAATCCGGCACTTGTTGGTTCTATTCGTGTCGGATCGACTCTCTGTGTTGCTCTTGTGCTGATCTTTGTGCTCTTCGGCCTCGCCTTGTTCTTCACACCGCCCATGCTGATCGCCAACCTGTTGTTCTCCTCGCCGTTTTGGTGCTGATCGTGATGCCCAACACTACATTCCGACCCTACTGTGACCGTGTCTTGTTTAATGAGTAATGCATGTTTTCCATTCGCTTGTGAGATGCTCGGATGCCTAAGTGCACTAGCTGGTCTATCTATGAGCTTTGTTGGGTCGTGCTATTGAGTTGTGGTGATAGTGTGGTGAAAAGCTCCAGCTTGATTGTCCGTCCTTGGAGGTTGTCAATCGATCGCAATCAGGAGATGCGTTAATTAAA